TTATATAATAAGCTGACACGTGATTTGATTGATTCTTGCTTATGATGTATTAAAGAACCGACTTATAGATGGCGCGTCACCATTAACAATTTTTTTTTGCTTCTTTATATATGAAACATATAGATTCCACATTGCTGTGGATCTGCTCAATAACTGATAAGAGATGAAATCATAAGTTGGTCAGACTGAATATCAGCTGATCAGTGACACACTCGGTTGCGCCTTGTGTGCTACTTTGTTGTTCTTTCGACAGTTTGAAGTCATCTGTGCTCTGTTAATGAATAGACGCGTGTCGACGTAGAATTCTCTTATTACATATGATTACACTTCAAGTCTTATTTGAGTCCCAAAAATTTCTCATTGAGCCGATTTTTGTTTAGAAGGGAGAAAAATCGCTCCTGCGACTTATGGTGAAAAGGTGAGCATTATTAAGCTATTTACATATGTCTTTGCAAGTTTGGAAACAACATTCACGCTTGATCTAAATACCCCGTGAAAATAATTATAGCTTATAAGAAGAAATAACCATTTACGAATTTGCTATCGCCGCAGGAAAATTATATCTTGACGTCATAATAAAAACCTCCTGAAATAAGTGTTCAAAACGTAGACTTAACAAAAAAAAAGCTACACCGCTACACTTTAATAATCAGCCAACTATTACTAAACTGCCAAGTAACTCCAATGGACACTAAATTTATTTTGCGTCACTACGGAAATATATTTTGACATGGACTGAAAAGGCAACACACGCAGACGCTGAAATTAATATTTTTTCAATGGAATGGTTTTGACTTATCTTGAGGAAAACTCTTTCATGGCCCATCTTTCTTGCAAAGAAAAAAAGCGATTAACATCAGTAGAAGGGCCGAGGACGCTTTGCAAAAATGTTGTTTACTTTATAACAAAGTCCTTCCCCAATATTCATTCCAAAACAAGCAGAGTAGTTGAACAAAGTAGAAAGAGTGACCTAAATTGAAGGCATATACCTCGAAGACTGTGGTACGAGCCGTTTTCCACAAAAAATAAGTACAAAAGTGCCGATCAGTCTACCTGAAACTATTTCCTTTTTTTCCTCTGCGCCTTTGCCTGAGTCTTCGACCGAGTATGGGTTATGGCCTCTTCCGACAATGATGAACTGGTCTCGTCCTTCGATGATGAACTGGTCTCTTCCGACAGTGATAAATTTTCTGACAACCGGAATTTGTTGATGTCTTAATCCAAGTGTTCCATTGGGTTTAACTTTTCTTTAATATCGGTAATTTTACTTCTTCTATCTGCAGGTTCGCCAGTAAAGCAATGATAACATCCTTCTTTTAAAAATATGTCTTCGAATTTACAACTTTTGTCGATCATAAGTGTCAGTAGATCTGTAATTGCTTCATCAATTAGGAGTGCGTCGAACTCTTTCTTTCTTGGAGTCGATTTGCCCGAATTTTCTACTTTTCGTCTTGCTATTTCGAATAGCAAAAGAATATACACTTCTGAAGTTACGAATGGGTAATCAGTTATCTTTGAATTGTCCTCGAACAATTTCTTCAGGTATTTAGCGAACAAAGAGATATTGGTTCCATACATCTTTTTCAGATCAGTAACTTAGCCTTTGTCGTAACTTCTTGTGCTGAATTCACCAGAAGCCGAGCCTAACACATGTATGACACCATTACCGGGTTGATGTTTCTGATGATTTGGTACTAGCTTGAACAACTTGCGAAATTGTAATCCGTGGCCGACTCCAGAAATTCCCAAATAATATAGACATTTTCCTTCTTCATAACATTTTTGGTTGACAATATCTTTGAGTATCTCGACAACCCGATCTCGACTGAGGTTCGTAATATTATAAACAATACGTATGATGCACGATCCTCGCAGTTGATAGCGCTATTTAAGCAATAGCGAAATTCAGACCTGTTAGCTCAATTGGTTAGAGCGCTGCACTAGTATCGCAGAGGTCAGTGGTTCGAGTCCCGTACAGGCCTGATTTTTTTCAGGTCTGAATTTCGCTATTGCTTAAATAGCGCTATCAACTGCGAGGATCGTGCATCATACGTATCAAATACCGCAGTTCAATATATGATTTTCATATATTTATTCTATCTCATTTATCACTTTCACGGGTTCATTACGAATCAACTTAACGGCCTGCTCTCAGTTGGCTTGTTAGCTCAATTGGTTAGAGCGCTGCACTAGTATCGCAGAGGTCAGTGGTTCGAGTCTCGTTCAGGCCTGATTTTTTTCAGGTCTGAATTTCGCTATTGCTTAAATAGCGCTATCAACTGCGAGGATCGTGCATCATACGTATCAAATACCGCAGTTCAATATATGATTTTCATATATTTATTCTATCTCATTTATCACTTTCACGGGTTCATTACGAATCAACTTAACGGCCTGCTCTCAGTTGGCTTGTTAGCTCAATTGGTTAGAGCGCTGCACTAGTATCGCAGAGGTCAGTGGTTCGAGTCCCGTACAGGCCTGATTTTTTTCAGGTCTGAATTTCGCTATTGCTTAAATAGCGCTATCAACTGCGAGGATCGTGCATCATACGTATCAAATACCGCAGTTCAATATATGATTTTCATATATTTATTCTATCTCATTATAAACAATGTCAGGTTTAAGATTATTATTCGCCATTTCGAAATAACTTCTGTTCTGTATTTATACACCTACGCGTCTTCGATCACCTTTCATGGCATCAGATTGAAGATAATAAGAAGAGGTATGACAAGGAAGAAACCATCACTGCATCAAGTACAGAAACAAAACACCACAGCTTTTTCGGGCTTTACCTCCTTGCCTGAAATAATCGAAGACAACCGCTTAATTGTTTTCTAGGAAAGATCGAGATTATGCCTGTTTAGACCTTGTCGACTTGGCAAAATTTCATCGGTCTAATTTTTAAAAAGGTCATGCCGAATAACCTCAAGGACTCGGTTGTGTTTTTTTTTCCCTTCCCGCAAGGCATCGCTGTTGCTGAGGACGCTTTCCTCTGGAAGAGAATGTCACACCATCTCTTGGAATGTAACCCGACTAGGCTACTCAACTCTAAACAAATTAAATTATGACTAAATGTCGTTTCTGTTTATTCTATCAGTAAATCTTGAGTTATTCGCCCATAAATCAGGTAATTATTTGTTTTGGTGCGTTCAGGTTGGCCTGTGATGCGTTTCGGCGATAACATACAAGCATCCGCACCTATCTGAATATGGCAGATATCATCTCTAAATTACTTCCAGCAAGCTTGCGTGCTCTTTATTCCGTATTACACTTGTAAAAAAATACATTCGCATTTAAAAGAAACCCGTTATTAAATGTCCAGCATTTGAAACATCTTACAAGGTTAAGCGGTATGAGGTCGTCCCATTTAGAACACACTGCTATCGATACTTAACAGTTTTGCAATTTGTGAACTACCCTTCAAATATCAGAATAAACCAGAAGCGAAACTGATCGAAAGCTGATTCGAAATACATTGGCTCTATGTATTACCCAAAATTTTCTATCGAATGTCAGAAAAAAAATCATCGCACATTATTAATTTTTTAAATCTTTACTTCGGTAGTATCTAAGAGTAGACACTAGTTACCACGAGTGACCACGAAAAACCACGGATGACCACGAGTGACAACGAATTTGCACGAATGAGTGACTGTGCGTGATCAAAAGTAACTGAAATATTATGTTTGGCTAACATCATAATCACATCGACATAACGTCACTTCCTACAATAATAATAGTGAATCAATCGAAAAAAAGAAATAGACACTTCCGTAGGCTGAAATAGATATAAGATGCGTAATTTCCCTCTTTTCCAAAAGGGCGGGCTCCGACTAGACCCTTAGAGAATTGTTGATAAGAGTGGCATATTATGCTACAAGCACTGTATGGATTTTTTACTTAGTCATGCTCAAATTTTCCTTTTTCAATTATGCTATTTTTTATCACAGTATGTATTTTGAAAAAGGCACAAAAACAAGTCCAAATTATATGGTTATTGTTAAAAACGCATGATTTCTTTTTTTATTTCCAGTCACATACTCTGACAAGACAAGATTAATGACTGCACCCATGGTCACTAGAGAGTACTTTTAGACACAACCCTCTTGTGACTCGTTCCGGTTTAGCTCCGACACTGGCCATCGTTCGACGAATCGATCGGGTCCTTCGCATTCATTTTAGTTTTTTCGGGTTTTGTTCGATGCTTGTTATGGGTCTCACCTCTGTATTGTGACTTTGTTATCGATTTGAATGCATAAGCTACGTCGTCAAAGGTTATCATCACATGTGCGTTTTACTCTGGAAGTATTCAACGTATCCTTTACAGAAGAACGTACATTGAAAGAAAAAAAGGAATAAGAAAAGAAAAGAAAAAAAAGATAAAAAAATTTATGCGACCAGGTTTCAAATCATAATAATGATAAAAAGAACAGTTATACATAAATACATACATAGGTTAATTGACCACTCCCTATAGGGGCTTTTCAGGGCCAACACCCACCCGTCCCACCCAGGGGAGGACATCCACCGCACAGTAATCTCGCGCGTGGGAAATTAATGTCTCCTACCCCTAACCCTGCAGGAGACGGGGCCTACGGTTTATTCATCCCTATCCGAGAAGACTAGAATATCTATCCATTTCTTGATTATAGAAAGGTAGTAAATTCTCCTCACTTATTTTAAGACCATGAGTATCGGTTATATAGTTTAAAGTTATAAAGTTTAAAGAGTTTGTATGACTAGATATTGCTTCTCTAGAACGATTTCTATTCTCTTCTCCATTTCCCACATCTCATTTTCTGTTCCTTTTTGCCTGTTCGGCAACATCTCTTTCTCTTAATACAATTTGCTCCCCTGACTTGGTGCAATCAAAATAGTTTACATACACAGAGGCTGACAGTTCTGACTTTAGTTTCTAGATTCCAAGGAGGTTCTTAAAATAACTGGTTTAACACACATGCCACCTGATCCCCAAAGTACAAAAAGAAACACTCAGGCATATTTGCTAGGTAGGCTTTTATTTACAAACAAATGACACAACCTTCTGTTGCCATGGCTGGTGGCAAAAATGCTCTTTTCTATTGGCACTGTTAAATATTAAATATAATGCACCCTAGTTGCTTATTAACAATAGTTTGAAACAGCCATCCTTAGTAAGAAATTATTTTAAAATAGTCTGTTGCCTAACTACTAACACTACAGAAGAACACTAGTGACATAACATCTGAAGTAATACTAACAGTAACTGTATTCAGATCATGTTACTCTTTATTTCTCAAAGAAAATGTAAGAAATAGGGCACTATGCTAAGTTAAACTTGAGGAAATCTTTCACATCTTCCGCTGATCCAATGAATATAGGGCATCTCTCATGCAGTTCCTTTGGTTTAATATCTAGGACTGGTTGTTTGCCGTCTGAGGCCATTCCACCAGCTTGTTCGATGATATATGCCATTGGTGCACATTCATACAGGAGGCGCAGCTATTTACAAAATTAAAATAAAAAAAAAAAAAGAATGAAAATAACTGATATCAAAAGAGTTTCACAAGAATCAAAGTCATTGGCTAATAAGAGCACATGTGATCAGGACCAAAAAAAAACAATCAGAACTAAACTGGCCTAACACATTTCACCACTCTTAAATTAGTAAGTAAATATAACCTACTTCAACCAATAATGGTGATATAGTGAAGACAATGATAATGATAATTATGAATGATTATCCTGTAATAATACAATGATAGTGATAGAGAAATGAAAACAATAATAAATTTAAAGTGACAATAATAATGATGATGATGATGCTGATGATCATGACCATGATGACAGAGGTCATCAAGATGTTACACTCTTATGTTTTGTATCTTGGTCCTGACAAGAACAAACATACAAACATAAAAACAAACAACCATACAAGGATACAAGCATACAAGCATACAAGCATATAAGAATACAAGCACACAAGCATACAAACATACAAACATACAAACAAACAAACAAACAGACAGTCATACAAACATACAAACAAACAGACAGTCATACAAACATACAATCAAACAAAGATACAATAGAAACATACAAGCATGCAATACAGCCGTTATTATATAAACAAACTTCAAAATTGGAAAATTTTACTTTTCAATAAATACCTTTCCTCGGGGGTTCTTCTTATTTCCAGGGTACATGAAAATTCCTCCATACACTAATGTCCTGTGCATGTCTGACACCATTGAACCAACATAACGGGCTGCATAAGGAGATTTACCATCCTACAGATCGGATAAATGACAAACAAGAATAGTTCCACAATCCATCACATTGAAATGGAGATTAATTTCTTTGTCATCATGAGAACAAATTGTAAAACACACTTATTTTCAAGATCCTTAATAACAATTGTGATCCTCATTTTAAGTATTACCTACAGCATAGTCTTCAAACCCAATTTAAAGATTTTTTAGTTAAAGATCTTCTAAGATCTGACTGGGAAACATTGACAAGAAGGTCAATTTTCATCCTCATATTAAGTGTTACCTACAACATAGTCTTCAAACCCAAGTTAACGATTTTTTAGTTAAAGATCTTCCAAGACCTGTCTGGGAAAGGTCGACAAGAAGGTCAAGTGATCCCTAAGGAACTTGGGGTGTGATCTTTATTGTTGCATCAAAATATTGGAAGATTTTGACTGTGTGATTGTGCAAATTATTTCCTCCAAGCTGGTGGATATTGTTTGTCTAGACACTACCAGGAACAAATTGGCTCCTTCATAATTGATTTCATGGAACCCTTGTCTGATGCTGACCTTTGGAAATTTAATGGATTCTAAGTATTTAGTGACTCTTTCATCAAACAAGCATGCATTTCCTTCATTTATGCTGTAGATAGGCTTGCCACGTGGCTTCATTTTAATGTCAGGATTTGTGAGAACAAATTCACCTATGGACTAAACAATAAAAGCAAATTAAAAATATTATAATATCTAATCAAGCAATGGACATAAAATACCAATTAACATTCAAGATAAATTAATAAACCCTCTCATTGGCAGATCTCAAACCCCAAAACATCTTTGACTAAGAGGGTAATTATATGACATAACATTTAACTTACTAACAAAGACTCTTCATCAATTATAGATAATTACTCAGTGTTTATGTAGCCACAGAATGTATTGCATCTAAATCATTCTGGAGATCCTATTTTGTTGTCAAATTTATTAATATACTAATAGGTAGAACCCAAAAGAAAAATAGGTAGAACCCAAAACAAAAATAGGTAGAACCCAAAACAAAAATAGGTGGAACCCAAAAACCCAACACAGGGCTCTGCTCTAAGGGGGTGGGGGGTGGGGACTTTCAAGAATTTTCATCTTAATTCCATCAACAGGTTGCAAGTCATAAATAAATAGACTTTTTAGTAGAAACTTCTGTGCCACAGTATAACCAAATTGGAAAAAAAATTTAGAGAGCCAACCAGACCAATAAGTTGTTGTTCAGCAGATAATTTAAATACTTTAGGTCTTGCGCTTGTCATTCAGTTGAATAAAATTTGCCTGCCTACAAAGCTATTCCACATACTTACTGGATCGAGAGTAAATCCATTGACTCCATGCCCAGTTGTTATCACCACCATTGTTGCACTTCCAAACAGAGCATACCCTGCTGCCACAAAATTTCTTCCTGGCTGGAGAGCATCTTCTACAGTTGGTGGTCCATCATGCTCCTTTTTAGTGAACAGAAAAGTGATACAACATCTTAAATAAGGTGGGTGGGAGGCGTGGGTTGTTGTCTTGCGTTTCATACAGGAGCCTCTGGCTCAGGCAATATGGGTAACCATGCCCCATGTAAAGACATTAAACTTTGATTACTATTACTATTACTATTATTATTACTATTACTATTACTAAATAAACACTAAAACCCTCTCCTGTGAATATCCAATCTCTTTTCCAACTAAACAACAGAAAACATTAAGCAAGTTCTTATCCTTGCAACTACCTTAGTTCACGTAATCCTTTCATAAACTCCCATGAGTGACCCAAGGCGGACTTTCTCCTTAAAATATCATTATGTTATTAGGCCAACAAATGATAAGAATAAAGAAAAATATAAATTAGGCAATATTTGGCTGATTGATGTTCCAAGACCAAATTCTCTAAACTAGCATCAAAAGAATTGTATGGCAGGCAGTGAGAAGCGTTATAACTACTACTTAAGATCTTGGAAGTAAAGAGTTTGAAGCTCTAGGTGTTGTCTTCATGTACCTCTCATTTCACTCTAGAAAATCTTTCTCAGTCTGTTTATATTTACCTGACACTACATGAAAGGGGAGTATGACATCAAACATTATAGACATGAGAGAAGAAATAATTTTCTTTAAAATAATTACCTTCTTTGAAATTCCAAAAATAGAGCCAATAGCAGCTAAACATTCTATGTTTGATGAACCATCTAGTGGATCAAAGAAAACCATATATTTTCCTTGTCTTTCAGTTTCCACTTCGATGACTGTTTCATCCTCTTCAGATACCAAAAGACATGTTGTGCAAGATGACTTCAGCATGTTAACAAACAGTTCATTTGCCATCACATCTAGTTTCTGCTGTTGATCTCCAGATACATTTGTATCACCTGCAATACCATATCTGAAACGCATATCAAATCAGAAGTTTTTTACTAATTTCTAGAGAAAACTTTTTCATGACAAGTTGTTTTTAAGTTATTAATTGCACTAAGTAGTGAAAACCAGGTCACAGCCAAAGAAAACGGAGGTTTTTTTTCCATTTTGCTTTCTCTTTTAACAACAAATAAACTTTATTGTCATTTTAAAAGTTACAAATGAAGTACAGAAACAACTGGCATAAAATGTCAAGTTAGTTGAGGTAGGTTGTGTGGAGAGAACCAAAGACTGATAATTTAATTTAATCAAGCAGTAAGCTTCGGTCAACTAGGCCTTTTTAAACACTGATAACAAGAATAAACAAAACAGACGAAAATTGTTAACAGCTCACATATGAATATGGATACACAAAAATTCAGTATAAGTAAATCAAAAACATAAACAATAAACTGAGAAAAATTAATTAAAGTTACAAAATAATTGCAGAAGTTAACTTTTAGTGCCAAGATTTCCATATAACCCCATGCTTCATTATGCATACAATTCTTGGATATAAGAAAACAGAAACAAAACAACAGATTAACTTTCGGACTTCGGCTTTGTTTTTTTATTGGTATGGGGTTATATGGAAATCTTTCCCTCTTAGTTAATAAAATAAAACATTTTCACTGGTTATAAATATTTACTGTAAAAGCAATTACCAGGACAAAATTTATTTCAAATAGAAATTGATTTTGGATGATAAAGTAGGTCCTGAACATAATTCATGCAAACTGTTGATAGATTATATCAATTGTCAGAGGGTCTAATTTATGTGATTGTCAGGTATCATACAGCCCAAACATATAAAAATTGAAAGAGATGATTCCATTTCCTCTAAAAGGAGTATCAATACTGAAGGCAATGAGTGATAATCCTCAAATGAACACACATCTGTGTAGTACCATCAATTTGAATCAAGAAATATGGAACAAAACAACAAATTTTCAGTGTATTTATCGTAGATTATTAGCACTATGAATAAGTTATTCTAAATCTCCCAGGGTTAGCCCAGCTATTTAGGAGAATAAGTTCCAAGACGTTCCAAGACAAGGTTGACACCCCACTATTTAGGAATAACATAGCTATTCCAATCTCTTTCAACAACATTTCGAGTTAAAGGGAGGTTTTTTCTAGTCTTGGTTCAAAGTCCTGTCACGCTTTACTAATGAACCTTGATTGAAAAGCAAATATCAGTATTTTGCCGATGAGATCTATAAAACCTTGAAAATTTGCATAGAATTGCGTAGCTGTTGAGTCACGGACTTACAATTGAGCAAGTCCGGCTTTTCTTACTGCTGAAGATACTGCTTTGATAGCACAACAGATAGCATTTAGCAACTGAGTGAGATCTCCACTGGCACCGGGAATCTTTCGCTGCTCATTCAAAACAAACCGCGTGAGGGTCATACAATTTGTATCTATGTCACCCATGATGACTCCAGTATCTGAAGTTGAATACAAATTATGAACAGTTTACATCGACAAATAGTCTATTTATACTGTTTGCAGTTTTACAATAAAAAAAATAACCTCATTTTCCTTTTGATGATGAGTGAAATCTACTGAAGTTGAAATATCTCAGGCATTTTCATACGACGAGGAAACAAAGTTATTTCAAGTTTCATGGATTGCCTGTTGAGATTCATTGCAAGAACTATTTGGTAGAGCTGAATTTGTACTTTGAACAAGTCAAAAATGTCACGATTACTGTAGTGATTACAATACAATCCACTTAATGAATTCAAAATGTACTACATAAGAATAAATTCTGGTAGAATTATACATACCTAGTACTCGAACTTTACCCTTGTACTACCGCTCAACCCCCAATGAATTGACGTGGCTTCGAGTCCATCAGCCGAGCAATTAGAAGAAACTGGGTACGATCACGCCTTCTTTACGCCCCCCAAAATCACGTGGGTTCTTTTCAGCTGGGATTCAAAATGGCGGTACGGGTGCTTCGAGTGGCTTCTAAAAGCTTAGCGTTTCGTTCCATTTATGTAGGCTTAAGTAGGGCTTCTTTCTGCTCTATACAGGAGGGAGGTTTGTTGATTGAAGAAGAAAAATACGCGTGGTTAAAAGATCTGGGACTCAAAGCTGAAAACAATGGTGTTTTTAATGGCTCTTGGGGCGCTAGAGGAGAGGTAAATCAAATTAATATGCGAGACCAAATATTTATGTCACACAACGATTGCTGACTCGCGATGTAAATTTTTTCCTCACTTGTAGACTGTAACGTCTGTGTGTCCTTCTAATGGGCGACCGATTGCAAGAGTTCGTCAAGTAAGTTTTGTTTTCCGTCGTAAAGAGTTTACAATTTAATGTAAGGTCAGCTAGCTATAAATCAGGTTGAGTGAGCTTTTGCCTTTGTACAAAAACTCATTTACACGTGGCATTTATTACATATCCAAAACAGACATAGTCTCCGAATGGTCACCGATGAGTCCTGGTGTAAATCCTGAATTGAAAATTAAAAGTTACAAAGTGATCGACGTGCACGCCACATATCCGTACACAATCAGTTTATGACCACTGATCTATTTCTTGTAGACTCCTTGTAGTGTCATGTGGGCAGTAAGATCACTTAGTTTGTCTCCATAGAAAAGCAAACTAGTCAAAAATAAAGGCATCGTTTGAAACTCTTTTTGCGATCAAGTCGGCATAATTTTTTTCATAAAATAGCAGCGGTTATTCTTTACTTATTAAATGATAATATCTTTAGGGTTCTTTAGAAGACTACAATGATTCAGTGAAGCTTGCAAAGGATGCCTGGAAGTCTTGGGCCATGGTATTGTTTATGTTACTTTTTTAGGTTTCAATGCCTTGTACTTGGGAGTGACAGTTAAATTCTTTTAATAAATGTGTTCTAAGGGAATATATAGTTGACTGGGCTCCAATAATAAAGGTTGATTGGGCATGAGTGGAAAAGTGAACCCTGCCACCACTGACGAAAAACATCCGAGGTTTAATTTGACCCTGAAATTTGTGTCATAAACTGAGAAAAAAAATTCAGGCCTTCTAAAAAAGCTTTATCTAACGAAAAAGCTTGGTGTGGTAAGGGGATTGGGACGGATTAGTACCTATACTGGCAGTGACAGTTTTAAGAACTGTAAGTGGCATCAATTAGTGAAACTTTGTCTTCTTTTACTGCCCAGAAATATAGTTTTAAAGGATGGATCAGATGTTAAAGACATTTCTTAAAAATTGAATTTCAGGTTGTGTATTGTGCAATGTAAAGTAGAATGAAATTTTAATTATTGTAATATAGTAGCTATGATTAGGATATTTATAAAAGGGAAAATTCAAAGTATGAATGCTTTATCATGGCTGCTTAAAATAGACGCCTGCTCCAAAGCGGGGAGAAATCGTTCGTCAGATTGGCCAGGCACTGAGGGGTAACTTGGAAAACCTCGGAAAACTGGTGAGTTTAAAAAGGAGTAAGGGTTTTGTCCTATTTTGTGGATTGATTTTAGCTGTTTGGTGTTAAATCCTATCCAACCTTTTAATCCTAATCTTTATCCTTAAACCTTAAGCCTTACCTTTAACCCCAAACCTAATACTTAACTTTAACCCTTAACCCTAACCCTAGATATAATCCTCTGATTGACTAACTGACAAAATCAGGCTAATTGGCCTTTTGCAGTTAGAGATCACGTGCTTAGATACGGGATAGCAACACCACACTGGAGAGCAAGCACTCCAGTGATCTCAGACAAAATAGAGATCACAGAGGTCTGCATTCAAACAGAGAATACAGCGGATAACAAGTTAAAAGGTATCCCACTTCGAGAAATCTTGTAAGTTTTAATCAACAGCTCCCTTGGAGTGTATCAGCAAAAAATGAATTTTTGTGTAATTTTGCTGCTGATACACTCCGGGGAAGCTGTTGATTACTTCTTACTGGATTTCTCGAATTGGGATACCTTTTGACCTGTTATCTGCTGTATATTCTTTGTTTGAATGCAGACCTCTGACCTCTATACTGTCTGAGATCACTGGAGTGCTTGCTCTCCAGTATGGCATTGCTATGCAGTATCTAAGCATGTGATCTCTTGCTGCAAAAGGCCTATTGCAGTGAAAATCTTGCTCTCTCAGATTGTTATATCCTTATCTTGGCAAACTCAATATCTCTATCTTTGTTATCAATTTAAAAAGAGTCAGTTACCCCATAGCAACTGAAAAAAATATTGTGGTGCAAAATTACCCAGATTAAATAATTGCACCTAGTGAAAAATTAAATTTACCTTCGAAAAAAAATAACCTTTATCATAATTATACATTAAGGAGTAGCTATCTATCAAGAGAAATGGATATGCTCCTAAAAGTGTAATGCTACTGGAAATCCTTCTCTGATGAACCTCGTGCAAAAGGGCAAGAATTATCCTTTACTTTAACTAAGAAAAAAAATCATAGTAAGACTTATTGAAATAGCAGCCCGATATAGATGAGTATTGGTCACATAAAGTTTAAACTATGCTGATAGCTTCTGGCAGTTAAAAGCAAAATTGTTTGATATGCAAAATGATGATGCCATGATAATAAAAAATTAATAATAATAATAAGTTGAACATTGCAAGGATTTTTAAGATCATAACATGAACAGTAAAACTACAAAAGAAACTTTTGAAATGTTGAAAGTTATAAGAACATTAGGTAAGCATGAAGTTTATTCCCACATATAAATATTAATTTGCAGGATGCTTTTAAGCATTGAAGGAAATTTAAATATTGAGTTCCATATATTAGAAGATTATAATCGATTTGTTTAGAGAATTTAGTTTATAAGTTTTACAGCAATCTTATTCACAGAATGTGACTTAGTTGTTGTCATGTATATTAATAATAGATTGTAAATTAGTGATGTTATATTAGTATTAGTTGTGTCTTAAAAAAATTTTCCATGCTTTCCTAGCAAATAGGTTTTTATATTTTTTATATAAGTGCAACGATGCGTAGTTTCATAGCTGTGTGCCCTATGAAACTTTCTTTTCTTGGCATGCTGAAGTTCAATAAACTGCGCCCTAATAATAATAATAATAATAATAATAATAATAATAATAGTAAAAATAATGGTTTATTTACAGTATATCCACGTAAAAGGTGTGGCTCTTCATCTGTGAAGGCCTATGATACTAATATTTAATATTAAAACTAAATTATAACAACTAACTAAATTGGAATAGAAACTATACATGAATGTTAATTGATAAAATATGTAGAATGTAGTGGTTGGTATCAGTGGTTGATTGTTTCTATGTCTTAATTTACAAGGAAGACAAAGCGCACGCCTTTAAAAATGCCTTGCAGAGCCTGCAGTATTCTTTAAAATCTGTACAATTTCTTATATTTACTGGCAATTCATTAAAAATTATGGCTGCTGAATGCTGAAAGGTGCCTTGTACAAATGGAACATAAAGCCTTGGAGCAACACTGGAACAGAGATACCTAACGGGTTTAATGACTTGCAGATTTAAATGGGAGGGCCAGTTATCAGAATACAGTGCTTTAAAAATAGTTTTTAGTAGCAATTAGTCCCTTAGCTCCAGAATAGGTAGCCAGCTGAGATCCAAAATGGTAGATATACTGTTTACATATTTACAAGTGACGAAACTAGCCATAGCGAACTGGAGCCTTGGAACACTGGAATGATGTTTAACAGGTTGGAACATTGGAATGATGTTTAACAGGTTGCTCTTGAAGTTGGCAAGATCAAACCAGAAGGTATTGGTGAGGTTCAGGAGTATGTTGACATTTGTGATTATGCTGTTGGTCTTTCAAGGATGATTGATGGAAAAGTTCTCCCCTCAGAACGTAAGAGTTGTCATTCACTCATTCACTACTTAACAGTGATGCAGTTCAATCTTAATTAATTTTGTAGCTATGGACAGAAGGCAGACCATTTGGCCTTTTTATTGAGCACAAGCAGCAAAAACGTTGACCTCTAGGTAGCTGAAAACAAAACCAGTGAGTGGCTGGGTAGAGAAGTTTGTATCATGAGGTTGCAAGTCTTATTTTCAAACACTGCGGCTGTTTGTGATGACATTCTTTCGTGATTGCGATGTAGCTTGCATAATTATCCCACCCATATCACTTTTAATTAGTTTCAATTTGATGTTCTGTATTATGTTGTACCAGGTCCTGGTCACACGCTTCTTGAGCAGTGGAATCCAGTTGGCTTGGTAGGAATCATTACAGCATTTAATTTTCCTGTGGCTGTTTTTGGCTGGAACAGCAGTATCAGCATGGTGTGCGGAAATGTTAATCTTTGGTAGGGATTTCAGCAAAAAAAATAGTATGGTAATCATTACATGTATTAGCTCTTTTTTCATAATGGAATTTTTTATTCAAAAGAATGTCATGTACTTGATAACTGATTTATTACATAGTCACAATTTTTCAAAATTGTTCCCAATGATTGTTTGTCTTACAGGAAGGGTGCCCCATCAACTCCCTTGACAAGTGTTGCTGTTACAAAGTAAGTGAGTTCTAGGCAAATTGTCCTAAAATATGGAGATGGTACAAAATGTGGACCCCCCTTCTGGAACCCCTTCTGCACCCCCTTCTGGACCCCTCTAATTAGATTAAGAAAGGCTGAAAACAATAAATACTTGGTGAGACTTAACAGGAGGTCATCATCAAAGTGGCATATTTCATGCTACAAACATTTGCTTGAATCTTCAAAAAGTGCCACTAGAAATGATAATTCTCTCGTGTGCTATAATTGTGGAATCCATTTTGTTTCTAAGTTAGAGTGTTGACCTTGGCACAAGGCTATAAAACTTCCAGTCTTTTCCTCTGATTGACTGATCAGATTATTCCACCATTTTGATTGCATCATCTCATGTCCTTGGCTACCACCACTGACCAAAAAAATTGTGGACACCATACACAGAGCTCTATGGTGGAATGTTGAAGGTAAGGTGTGTGATTGTTTGGCAAGAAAATGTTATCATTGTTTATCGTTTATCGATGACTTCAGGAATGTCAAGATTGCATACAAAATGCGAAAAAATCCCACACCCACCTTCAACATTCCACCATAGAGCTCCGTGTATGGATGACCACAATTTTTTTGGTCAGCGGTGGTAGCCGTGATAGCCATGAGATGATGCAATCAAAGTGGCGGAAAAAATCTGATCGGAATTGCCGATCAGAGGAAACACCGGAAGTTTTGTAGCCTTGTGCCGAGGTCCCCACTCTAACTTATAAACAAAAATTAATGATAGCACATGGGAGAATTAACATTTCTAGTGGCACTTTTTGAAGATTAAGGCAAATGGTTGTTGCATGAAATGCCACTTTGATGATGACCTCTTAAGTTGTACCAGTTATTTACTGTTTTCATCCTTTCTTAATCTAGTCAAGGGGTCCAAAAGGGGGTCCAAAAGGGGGTCCAGAAGGGGGTCCAGAAGGAGGGGTCCACATTTTGTACCGTCCCTCAAAAATGAGTCTTTTGAACTATAAAATAATCTTTTGGTATGGGTCTTACAGTCTTTCTTAGGTCATTCCTGAAACTATGACCAAAATGGACAGTAATTTGTTTTCAAGGTCCTAGGAAGGCTTGCAGGGAGGGTAGAGTTCTGACAATTGTGTGGTCTCTTATTTAAAAACTTTCACTCTTATTATTTTTTCCTGTCACTTACAATAATACATTAAATCACAAATATTCAAATTATAGAATGTCCATCTTAGAGAATAAATTTTATGTTCAAAGAAAGCTACCAGTATAGTTTTAAAATAACTTTTAGAAGAAGAAATATTATTGTAAGTTGTGGTTTTAAGGACTGTGTCTTTCTCCTCATGCAGGATTGTCAGTGAGGTATTAGCTCAGAACTCAGTACCTGGAGCTGTTTGCTCCCTTGTCTGTGGTGGGGCAGACATTGGGTAAGAAATACTGGATGATCTCATATTTTTTTCCTTCATTTGTTGTTGAAATGTCTGCCAAAAGGAATGGAAAAATGTAGTTCTGTTCTTGAATGAAACGTTTCTTTTATTTCAGGCAAGCTATGGCAGAGGATGAGAGAGTAGATTTGGTGTCTTTTACAGGAAGTACACAGGTAGAAGGTTTACGTATTGTGTCACCTTACTTGATGTCTGTTATTAGAGAGGTAATGTATATGGCATTCTAGCAAATGAAATGGTCAAAGCTACAAATTCTTCAATAATCTTTTACTTGATATTTTTGCATAATGAGTTAGTATTGAACTATATTTTTTTAAGTATCTACTCAAAAGTGAATGCTAATCATTCTTTCATTTTTGGCAGTATTTCTTTCATTGGCTGAACCAAGGCAGTCTGTTGAAGTTGGATAATTGCATGCCCTAGACATTCTTAATGACTGTTTAATTAATGTAAAGGAAATCATTAGGTGTGACACAAACTTTTTTCTTTCCAAGGTTGGGCAGAAGGTTGGCACAACTGTGCAAAACAGATTTGGTAAGTTTTAGGCATCATTGTTTGTATCATTTACCTGTTAAGGGTAGATTGTGCAGCACTACTGATTACAACAAAATAATCTTAATTTCACTGATTTCCAGCGGGTTAGTTTTGGGAATACATGTGCACAATTCATACCATGTAATTGCTAAGTAACATTTTTTTAATTATCTATTTCTAGTAACTAGCTCATCTTTCAAACCGGCAGTCTAAATCCCACAGGTATCAACGAGCGCTTTTCATTCCACTAATTTATTCTTGTTTTTCTCGTTGCCATGTTCCCACCAATAACGTAGCTCCATTTTCTGCCTTTAAAAGCACACACAACCCACAATTCCTCTGTTCACTCCGACGAAGGGCTAACGCTCGAAACGTCAGCTTTTTTAATCGTAACGGTGGCCAAATTGCCATTTCAACTTTGTTGATATATTTAAATTATTTCGTTACCCCCACTGACGCAGCCCCAAACAGTTTATTTAGAAACTATCATCCTTTATTTCTAGTAACATTGTGTTTTAATTATTTTTGTTTCTCAGGGAGAAAAATATTGGAACTTGGGGGAAACAATGCCATTATTGGTAAGTTCATTGTTAGAGGTTAACTGACATTAAAGGTCTATTTGTCAGCTAGATACTTACAATTTTTATTTTCTTAACATTCATCTTAATTTAATTATTGCTTTGTTGCTTTTTTTTTCATTTTTTTTTTTAATTGAAAAGGGATAATCTTTTGAAAAGTTCTGGTTAATAATTACTACTATGAGGGTCTGAATGGGTTTAACTGTTAGCCTTAAAAACAGCAAAAAAAAAAATAGCCATTAAGCATAAAAAATTGACAAATTTTAACTGTTAGTCATAAAAAATGTTAACTGTAAAAATTATTTTTTTTAAATACAATCAATAGGAATTAACTTTTAGCTGGAATTAAGCCATCACCCCATTGACATCCTCAATTATTTGTTGAGGAAGCCAAAAAAAAAAAACAAAAAAACAAAAAAAACCACGAAAATTTTTCATATAATTTCTAGGATGAGAGTATAACCTTGTACCCCAGATTAATTTTAAATCCTGTCTTTTTTTCCTTCCAGTAATGGATGATGCAGACTTAAACCTTGCCATTCCTTCAGTTTTGTTTGCATCAGTGGGTACTGCTGGGCAGAGGTGTACCACAACAAGAAGACTGGTTTGTGACAATGATTTGTGACCATATTTTTTCATTAATTAGAATTAAATATTATATCTCAGACAGTTGCTCTGAAGGAGGCCTGAATTAAAATTGTGGGTTAAATGTTCGGTCACAAATCAGCATCAAGGCTTTGAAGCTTGTATGTAAATGCAAGTTTTTCATGATAAAGGCTTTGACAGCAACAAAAAGCATATGACTTTGAAATTTATGAAAAAAGTAGCATCGTGAGAATTATATAAAGACTGTACCTGAATGTCTGTCAGTACCCTGGCCCCAGAGGTTCTCTTCTCCCTACCGGAGTGCTAGAATTTGGTGCGAAGCGCCGACCAACGAGCTGCAGAGCAGCGAGCGGAGAGAACCTCTGGTCAGGACCATCGAGAATCTCACTTTCGTGCCACCAAGCTTCGGGTGACAGCCATCAATCACGCCCCTTTCTGACAACCAATCAGAGTAAAGTACTAAAATACCTCTGGGGGTAAAATACCTCTGATTGGTTGTCGGAAAGGGGTGTGATTGATGGCTGTCACCCGAAGCTTGGTGGCATGAAAGTGAGATTCTTGACAGTCCTGACCAGAGGTTCTCTCCGCTCGCTGCTTTGCAACTCGTTGGTCGGCGCTTCGTGCCGAATTCTCGTACTCTGGTAGAGAGAAGAGAACCTCTGGGACCAGGGTAGTCTGTCAGTTGAGTACATGGTGATATGTTTATAGTGTACTAAATTTGAAATATCTTCATGATTTCTTCCTTGAATCCTTTGGGCTTGTAAAATGAGGTAGCTCAATCATAAGAATGGCTTTTTCTAGATAGAGACAGCAAGGAGATGTAAGTTTTGTCAAGTACTATCAATGATCAAAATAATTGTATCTCTTTATTGATTTTAGACAGTACATGAAGATATTCATGATGATGTTGTAGAGCGTTTAAAGAAGGCCTATGCTCAAGTCAGAATTGGTGATCCTCTTGAAGGTTAGTGTTTTGACAAATTTTACTCTGTTGGGAGTCTGATCTGGATGTTTGCAGAAACACAACAGAGCGATTAGAATAAAGGAACTCTGATTTTACTATTACTAAGTACCTTTTAATTTAGTTAATAAGTATTATTCCTAAGTTAAATTGTGCTATAGAAAAGAAAAGATAACATACTTACTAGTTAATTTATAGTTGGTCGGGAATTATATTAATGCACTCCCACCAGATACTTGAGAGTAAAAAATAGCGGGAAGCAGATGACAAATTAAAAGTCCATTGTCTGTCATTTTCTGAAAATGTCATGTTTGATCACTGAGTAATGAAGACAGCTATTCAATGATCAGAAAGTGGTTCAGATGGCAACCTACACTTACAGATTAACCTTACAGATAAACCTTAACAGGTAATTGTAGGTTGCTATTTTGATATACACTCTTAGTCTGCTCAAGGCCAGTCAAGGGCTAATTTCCTTGTGGTGGCCATCAGTTGTTTTCTGAGAGCGAGACTGAATGCTATGTGAGAGGCCATTAGACTAGTATATTACATTCCTATAAGATGCAGTTAGATTTCCAGTATTATCCATTCAGTTTACTAATAAACAGCAAACTTTTCTCCATCACGCAGCGGACACTCTGTATGGTCCAGTTCACTCTGAGATGGCAGTGGATATTTACAAAAAGGCTGTGGATGATGCTCAGAAGCAGGTCTGTTGATATTTGTTGAGTGGCAGAGATAGTAGGTTACTATGGGGTTGCCAAGACATTGGGTTTGTCAGAAAATTTAAATAACCTTTGATCTTTACTTTGATCCTTATTCAGTAATGACATTATTTATTTACAAATTGTTTACAAGATAATTGGATTCATTGTTATAAATTAAAATTTCATGTGGAACCTCATTCCTAAGGTTTTTCCTTCTTCCATCCCTGTTTCCAAGTGAGTGATGAGATAATTTTTCTAGGTTGGAATTATTTTAAAAATATAGAAAATTTAGGAAGACATTAAAAACATTTTATTTTATTTCGCCATGCACCGTGAAGAGTTGAATTGCCTTGAGGAATCTAACTTCAGACCTTTGGATTCCCACGGCAATTTTACATCACAAATAACTTGCTGGTGAGGATTGTGAAAGTCATTACATGGTTTATTTTTAAACACACAACAATTAGCAAGGATCGGCAATTTTGTGGTTGTTGTGTGGACATCTAGACTGGGAAGGATGATTAATTTTTAACCAATTAAAACTAGTTTTGAAAAAATAGGATTTAAAGTGCACCTAAACCCAAAAATTGTTTTTTGCTTAACGAAATAAGCATATTTTTGGGAGTATTTCTGGGCAAAAATTTTTTTATTTGCTCAAAATCTTCAATTTTCTGCGCCCAGTCAAAATACGAAAAATCGGCCGCCATCTTGCCCCACGACCGAGTTTAAAGAGGAATGGCTCTAGCGGGTAATGTGACGTCAAATTGAGAACACGAAAGTCTGCATTTCACACATTTTCACTTGTTTGGGAAGGTTGTAGTCGATATTGTCCGAAAATATGCCGACTAAGTGTGTTGTAG